TTTTCATTCCTGGCATAATATAATATACTTTGGTATATATTGTTAGGAGATGCGTCCTTGGAGGAGGACATCATGTTTGGAAAGGTGGAAGGTCAGAGTAAGAGAAGAAGAATTTCAACAAGATTGATTGAAGTATGTCAGAAATTGTGAGACTGCATAAGTTTCTCTTTCAGGGACAAGATGGTGCCATCCATGCCAGCGCTGACTGGTCCTGTTGTTGGTGTGAAGTAATCATGTGAAATTCTACATACTTTGAATACAGGTGAACTTAAGTAGCGGGGGGAAAAGAAATTGTGAAGATGGCATAGGAGAGAGCAAGGTGCAGATCCACTGTTCAGAGGGTCACCACGTGACATGGTTGACTTGACAGCACATAACTGATAGAATGATATGATAGAATAATATCATATTCTATATTTTCTATGATTGGAAAATGAGAGTTAAAAGTTTTATTATATTCAGGATTTGAAGCCTTCATTAAATACCTGGTGATCTGTATTTGCCTTTTGTTTTATTTATGAATAAATAATTTGAAAACTATGTTCATGAACTGGACTTACTGGCTGGTAGACTTTAATAGAGTGACCACAAGTAAACAAGTTTTTGTCAGTATGCATGGCCCTTTTTTCCTAGGGCCATCTAGGTTTTCCTGAGACGAATCCTCTAATTCCCTGAAGTAAGGGAAGTAGTCTTTGTTGCTGTCATTTATTGCACATACAGGTGTTCATTTCAACTCTGTTTTCAACCTTAAGTCTTGTTCACTTTCTCTACTCCTAGCTAACCAGAATTCTGAGCCTTAATATTCAATGAGTCAAGTCATCTCTAGTGGTTCAGAGTTTGTTGTAGCAACGGTCATATCATGGGAAGAAGGGTACTTACCTTTGTGTGGAAGAAAATGTACCTAGAGTCTAATCACTGTAAAAGATATTCTATTACCCTTATTTACTGCCCTACATCCCATACACACTATCCATGCAACCTAATGATTTAATTCTATACTTTTTTTGCGGGGCTCTCTACAGCCAAATCAGTTGCTTCTCATCAATATCCTCAATGGTGGGCAGTCAGAAGCTATCATTACTCCTTTTCCTTTCCTTCTTCCATAAAACATATTTCCCCCTCACAGTTTTGTTCTTTTTTTTAGAATGCCTTGTATTCCAGCCTTGTAAGATTGTCCATTTACTATTATCTTCGTGGTATTTTGGAGTAGAAAGTAGATATATAGGTGAAGGCAATACGCAAGGTATACATCGAAGCTATCAATTCCACCAAAGTTATTTAAATAGTACTATTAATCAGAAGGGCGCTTTGGTGGCCTAGTGGTAAGAAGCTGTGCTGCAATCCCAAAGATATAAAGTTTGAATCCACCAGCTGCTCCACAGGAGAAGGATGGGCAAGCTCATCCATGTGATAAACTGCGTCGGAAAACCACTGGAGGGTCTGCTACGGGTTGGGTCCAACTTGATGATACACAACAACAACAACATTAATCAGAAAGGGAACAAAGGAGATGGAAAACTAATATTTACTGGTTTCCTATTACATGCCAGAAACTATGTTTACAAAAACCTTAAAAGGCAAGAATCTCCATTTTTTCTGAAAATGAGAAAAATTAACAGCACATGGATAATTACAAAACCAGTAAATGGAGCAATATTGTCTGTGTTTGAAGCCCTAAATGTACCACAGATATCCAAGCCCTGGGTGGTATTGTGGGTTTAAGAGCTTATTGTGGAAAATGGCTTCCTTATCCATTAACTTATTTTCCCATATGGATAGACTGGAATATGCAAATAGGGTGTGTTAGCCTATTCATAGTTAGTTAGCCTTGCCATGAAATTGAGTGGATCCAGCAGCAGAACTGTAAGATCTTTCCTGCCAGCAAAGAAAAAGTGAGAAAATGTAGCATGTCCTTCGAGTCTAGAAATTCCTGAATCAGCTGGAGCGGTAAGAGCAGCCGCCATGGCTGAAGCACAGGACCAGAGACCCAACATGAGATGGAGCTGACCTTGGGACTACTACTGCTCCGCCCATGGAACCAGAGCCAAGAGCCTTTTGCTCCAGTTTACTGGAGGACTGTGGTGGAGGTGGGGAGCAGAGCCATAACTGGCAGGACTAAGAACTTTGAAACATTGGCTTAAAGCCACAAGACTCAAAGCTGAGGTACGTGGGAGCACATTTTGGAAACTGTCTTGACTATAATTTGCTGCTGCTGTTGTTGTTGTTAGGTGTCATCAAGTCGAGTATGACTCATTGCGACCCTATGAACAGAAGATCCTGTGCCACCTTAACACTTCCTGACACATAACAGTCCATTGCTGCAGTCACCACATCAATCCACCTGGTCGAAGGTCTTCTCCTTCACCAACTGTCCACCCTTCCTAGCATCATGTCCTTCTCTAAGGAACAGCCTCTCCTAGCAACATACCCAAAGTATGTGAGACAGCCTCATCACTCTTGCCTCCAAAGAGCACTCCAGCTGCACCATCTTCAAGACATATTTGTTCTTTTGGCCATCCATTGGATGTTCAGTGCTCTTCTCCAACACTGCAGCTCAAAGGTGTCAATTCTTCTTCTGTCATCCTTATTCACTGTCTAGCTCTCAGATGCATAGCAAGTGATCAGAAAGATTATAACCTGATCATTACTCCTCAATAATTTGGAAAGATCCCTAACTGCATATTTTTCCCAGTGCAATGTGTCTCTTTATTTTCTGACTGTTAATACTAAGGGTATTAATTGTGGATCCAAGCAAGATGAAGTTGTTGGTAGTTTGAATCTCTTCTCCATCCATCATTATACTGTTTATTGGCCCAGTGCTAAGAATCTTTGCTTTCTTGACATTGATATACAATCCACACAGAAGGGTGAATTCCCTGATCTTTCACAACAAGTGCTTCAAGTTCTCTTCACTTTCAGCAAGCAAGGTAGTCTCATCTACATAATGCAAGTTATTGATGAGTCTCCCTCCAATCCTGATGCCACAGTCCTCTTTATAGAATCCAGCTTCTTGGAAAATTTGCTCAGCATACAGATTAAATAGTTATGAAGAGCGAATACAATCCTGGCATACTCTCTTAATTTTAAACCATGTAGTGTTCCCCTGCTCTGTTCGCACAAGAGCCTCTTGGTCCAGGTGTAGGGTTTGCATGAGCACAATTAAGTGCTCTGGGACTCCTATTCTTCTCAATGTCAGCCAGAATCTGTTATGATCCACACAGTCAAATACCTTTGCAAAATCAATAAAGCACAAATAAGATATTCTTCTGGTATTCTTTACGTTCAGCCTGGATCCATCTGACATCAGAAATTATATCCCTGGTGCCATGGCCTTGTCTAAATCTGCTTGAACATCTGGCAGTTTCCTACCTATGTATTGTTTCAGCTGGTTTTTATATTTTGTCAGAATTTTGGTTGCATATAATATTAATGATAGTATTCAATAGTTTCCACATTGAGTTAGATCACCTTTCTAGGGAATGGGAACAATCCACTGGCCAGACAGCTGTCCTTCAAATTTCTTAGCATAGACTAGTGAGCCTATTCACAGCTGCATATGTTAACTGAAACAAGTAAATTGGTAGCCTATTGATTCCTGGGGCTTTATTTTTTGTCAATGCCTTCAATGCAGCTTCTACGTTCTCCTTCATTACCAATGATCAAAGAACAGATGAGTTGTGGGATCAAAGCTATCATCCATGAAGAAAGGAAAAGGTTATTACAAAAACAAAAGAGAAAGAAAAAATCAATATGGATATCAAAAGAAATTAAAATTTGCACTAGATTGCTGAGAAGCCAAAATAAAAGGAAAACATGATAAAGTAAAATAGCGGAACAGAAGATCTCAAAGGGCAGCTCAGGAGGACAAGCACAGTATTATAATGGGATGTGCAGAGAGCTGGAATTTGAGCATAAAAAGGGAAGAACTTAACAATGAAAGAGTTTTTCTTTTACTTTTCAAGGAGAAGAGTGAATTGGGGGGCAGGGGATGGGCAGGGAGAAAAACGCAACAATGAAAGACTGGAAACCCTAAGTCTGTAAACTTTCATTAAAATTAACAAAAGAAAAAGAGGGGAAAAAAGGAAGAACTTGCTCCGCCTTTCTCAAGCTGAGAGAACTTAAAAATTTAAGCCTCAAACGGCAATATTCAAAGATGCTATGGGCAGTATACTGAATAACCCAGAAAACATCAAAAGAAGATGGAGGGAATACACAGAATCATTATACCATAAAGAACTGACTGACACTGAAAAATGTCAGGAAGTACCATATTCTGCTACTCACCTGAATTATAATAGCCTTTTGACTTCCCTACTATGGTTCTGTGTGGTCTGTGAGTTATTGCATTGGCATTCAGATCAAATAAGGCAGTAATATTGATGTTGGGATGACTAGAAAGAGGCATGGGAACCTGGGGGACATGTCTTGACCTCATGGGAATTACTTTTGTGTTGTTGATGCTGTTGACAGGGACAGTTCCCCTTTGTGAGGTAGGTAAAGGTCAGCTATGACTGTCCCCATGAGGTCCTTGCTCTTTATTACAGGCAAAATTAAGTATCAGACTAATAGCTGAAAAGTTAGCAGTTCAAACCAATCTAGAGGTGCCTTGGAAGGGAAGGCTTGCAGGAATGCTGCTGAAAGGTCACAGCCTTCCTCTGGAAATATTTTACAATTTAATATTGAGTGTAATTAAGAATATAATCATGTTATCAAAAACAGTATTGAACTGTTGTAGTTTCTTTAACATTCATGTGGATAAAAAAAGTCTATAATAAAAACCTATGAAGTAAAAAAAAATATGCTATGGAACAATTCTACCTTGAACATATGAGGTCATCATGAGTTGGTACAGACTCAGTAACAAATAGTAACAAATGTGTTACAAGGATCATTCAAGTCATCTTTTGTCATCAAAATGCATCCTAATTGCAAATACAGAGCCAAAGTACAATCCTACCCTCTTTCATGCTCAAAACAATGTGAGTGAAACAAATACATACCTCTTTCAATCAATTGTTCAAAATCACCTGACTCTTGAGATGTGCTCTTTTCAATCCTCAAGGTCCTCACTGACAACGTAAATTAACAAAGTAAATAAAATGTTAAATGTCTACCTGATTCTATATTTGTATCCTCAAGACCAGCAGCCTTCGGGTTAGCAGCACAATCCTTACCCACTAGGCCACCAGACCTCAATTATAAAGGGCTAATAAGTGATAGACTGGACTTTGGATCTGACTTTGAAGTCTCTACTATTATTACTAAACTGGGAATTTCTTTGCCCTGGTTTTCTATCATTGCCCCCACATCTACCCCTGCCAGGCTGGAATCTTCTTTGTTCTGCACCCTGGGAAGCTTGCCCCTGTTACATGGCCTATGTTCTCTGTTACCCACTGGTTTCTGGTTGAGTTTGGCAAATGGGAAAAGACTGGTGAAAGTGAGATGAGGTTATTTTTTTCCCCTTCACTCTGTGGTATCAAGGGTTTATCATTTGAAATGGCTTCCCTAGCCTTTAACTTTCACTGCATGAGTGGGAACAGTGTGTACAGAAAGTAATCATGGGATTGGCCAGTTTTTTCTATTCCACCAAGATAAATTTAGTTGTGACAGAGGAATCTCCATACTAGCAAGGAAGAAGCAGAGAGTGCAGTGCATGTCCTTTGGGCCGGAGATTCCTGTGCCAGTTAGACTGGGATCTACTTGAGAGCAGCCGCGGCCTCAGCAGAGAACCAGACACCAACACTTGACAGAGCTGACTTGGGACTGAGCCCCAAAGCCAGAGCCAGGGACTTCCATTCAAACTTGCTGGAGGACTGAGGGAAGATGTCATAACTTGAAGGTTAAGGAAACTTTGTAATATTGACCTAAGCTGTGAGGCTGAAGGTCAAAGGGTCTGTAAACACATACTTGAGAAGCTGTCTGGAGTGAGGAACTATACCTAATAAGCTGTCTGGACTGCAGAACTGTATTCTGCTACCAACCTAAATTGTAACCTGTCAACTTCCCTCATAAACCCCGTAACTGTGAGTATGGTTCAGTTAGATCTGAGTGGTTACTACAAAGGACACTGGACCCAGTAGAGTAGCAAGACTGGTGTTAGAATTAGTAGTAGGTGCAGGAGCAGGGAAGACCATGATTGATCTTATACAGGGATTGGTTTTATACTGTGGAAGCTGTTGATGTGGACAGTCTCCTTCGCAGAGGTAGCAGAGGTCAGATACGACCACCTCCACATTGTCTACACTCTTTACCTCTCTCCTTGCTTCAATGCCATTTCTCTAACAGTGGTCATGTCATAGCTACAGCTCCTGCCAGGCAGGCCTTTTTCCACAGCCTTACTGGACTCCTTTTCCTTCCCTTGGCCTAGGGGTGTTACATCATGGTTTCCTTTTGTGCCAGCTTCTGATACCTCACTGTTCCTTGTTTGTTCCTTTAATCCACCCATGATTTTAAAAGTAGTTCCATCATCCAACTCTATTCATTTGAATCATCTAAGATGTGTTCCGTTTCTTGTCAGGGTTTTTCCTAATATACTTTATCCCTAAGTTAACATAAGACAGAACTAGAATGGTGTTCCAATGTCAGATTCTAAGTCCTTCAAAAAATGCCATTAGCAACAGAAAAATCAAAACTACCCAATTTGAATCAACAAGGTTATTAGATTTTTCAGCAAAAGTTTGAAAGAGAATCCCAGTCCAAATGACTATGGAATAAAGATGTCATGGAGTCTAATGTTCTGGAAAGACGTAAGCTTATATTTATAACGAGGTCTTTTGCCAAAGACTTTCATTTCACATAGCAAGCTCCTTGGAAGTTATGTACTTTGGAAGGGTTTCAAATTTGCAGTTTCAGAAAGGCTAATTGTGCTTAAGTTACACCCTCAACTGCAGCAATAAAACTGGTTCCACACTTAAAGGAACACCAGTGTTTTGCCAAAAGTTTACAAGAATGTGCTCAGCTGAGAAGATGATGAAAATAAATATAAAATTTGCTTACCAAAGTAACTTCGGATTATAAGCCTTTCAATCCTTACATGTTTATGAAAACAAATAATGAACTCCTGGGGAAACATTCCTGTGGTGGTCCAAAATGTTTCTGGATTCCTGTGGTAAATTTTAAAGAAAAAGATAAAATAATGGCCAAATAAATATGTTCAATCATAATACTGTAATGAATGAGTATTTTTTAAAATTAAATTATTAGTATATTCTTGTGTCACTTGGCATTCTATCAGTGTGTCTTGCTAGGGTGGGGTGCATATTGCTGTGATGCGGGAAGCTGTGTCAACAGCATTTCAAGTACCATTAGGGTCATCCAGGATGGACAGGTTTCAGAGGAAATTGAAGATTAAGACAGTCTAGGATTTAGAGATTTATTTCTGAAAAAAAAAAATGGTTCATTAAAATCTAATAAAGAGCAGTGGAGCACTGTCTGAGACAATGTCAAAAGATGAGTCCTTCAGGTTGGAAGGCACTCAAAATACCACTGGGGACGTGATGCCCCCTTAAAGCAGTCTACTTAAATGACATCAATGGGGTAAAGCTTTCAGGACCTTCACTTGCTGACAGAGCATGACTCAAAATGAGAAGAAACAGCTGCAAATACCCATTAATAATGGAATATGGAAGCCATGAAGAACAAATTTAGAAAAAAAAATGTAAGTCATAAAAAATGAAACAGAATGCATAAAAAAGTGGTATCCTCAACATCAGTGCACTGAAATGAACTGGTACTGCCCATTTTCAATTAGACAGTCATGTAGTCTACATACCAGGAATGGCAAACAGAAGAGGAATTGCCTTGCATCATCATCAAAAAGAACATTTTAAGATGTATCTCATCTCGAAGTACAATGCTAAGAGTGACAGGCAACATCCATGACCAGTTAATACAACTATTACTCAAATTTATACTCAAACCACTAATGCCAAAGATGAATAAATTAAAGATTTTTACCAATTTGTGAAGTCTGAAATTAATAGTACACACAATTAAGATGCACTGGTATTTACTAGTGATTTGAATGTGAAAATTAGAAACAAAGAAAAAGGATTAGTAGCTATAAAAATATGGCCTTGGTTATAGAAATAATATGGGAGATTGCATGAGAGAATTTTCTAAGGCCAATGACTTATTCACTACAAATATTTTTTGCAACAATATAAACTACTACTCTGCACATGGGCATCAATGGATAGAAAATATATCTGTGGGAAAAAGATAACAGAAAAGACTGCATTGAAACAGATGAGGTAGAAAACTATTTAAAAGGGTTTGTGATTAGGTATTATTGTCATGACAGGAGTCCAGACCCAAACATGCATAGTAGAGTGGACCTGGGGGGAGGGATTGTAAAACAATGGGGGAACTTTTACTTTTCAAGAGAAAAGTGTCCTGCGGTGGGCAGGGAGAAAAGTGCAACAATGAATGAATGCAAATCCAAAGTCTCTGTAAATTTTCATTAAAATTAATAAAAAAAAGAAAAAAAATAATATCATCAGTGAGGGATACATTCATTAGTTTGCTCCTTTTCACTGGAGAACACTGCCGAGGAAGCACCACTAAAGTGTTTATATTTCCATGGCTGCCAAACCAAAGTCAGAGTCTCCAAAAGTACCCAACTAGCTGGGAAAACTATTCATTAGAGGGTTGAGCTTTGAAACAACAGATGGAAGTCTAGGAGCAATCATGGACTGTGGTAATGAGAGAGACAAATCCCAAGCACTCCAGAGGCTTGGCTTTGTCACATACTCATCTGTGGAAGAGGTGGATGCAGCCATGAATGCAAGGCCCCACAGATGGATGGAAGGGTTGTGAAACCCAAGAGGGCTGTCTCAAGAAAAGATGCTCAAAGACTAGGTTCCCACTTAACTGTGAAAAGGATCTTTGTTGGAATTAAAGACAATACTGAAGAACATCACTTAGGAGATTATATTGAACAGTACAGGAAAATTGAAGTGAATGAAATCATGACTGGCTGAAGCAGTGACAAGAAGAGGGGCTTTGCTTTGGTAACTTTTGATGACCATGATTCTATCTATAAAATCATTATTCAGAAATACCATACTGGTCACAACTGTGAAGTGAGGAAGGCCCTGTCACAGCATCAAAGTGGTTCTGGAAACTTTGGTGATGGCGTGATGGCCGTGAATGTGGTTTTGGTGGGAATGACAACTTTGGTCAAGGAGGAAACTTCAGTGGACAAGATGGCTTTGGCGGCAGCCATGGCGGTGGAGGATATGGAAGCAGTGGAGATGGTTAGAATGGATTTGGTAATGGTGGAAGCAACTTTGGAGGTGGTGGAAGCTACAATGATTTTGACAATTACAACAATCAATCTTCAAATTTTGGATCCAAGAAGGAGGAATCTTTGGAGGCAGAAGCCCTGGCCCTTATGCTGGTGGAGGTCAATATTTTGCCAAACCATGAAACCAAAGTGGCTGTATAGTGGTTCAGGCAGCAGCATCAGCGATGGCAATGGCAGACGGTTTTAGTAACTGCCAGGAAACAAGGCTTAGCAGGAGAGGAGAGCCAGAGAAGTGACAGGGAAGCAACAAGTTACAACAGCTTTGTGAACTCAGCCAAGCACAGTGGTGGCAGGGCCTCGCTGCTACAAAGAAGACATGTTTTAGACAATACTCATGTGTATGGACAAAAAGCTCAAGGACTGTATTTGTAAATAATTGTTGAACTGGTTATTTTAATTTCTGTTCTTTGGAAAGTGTAAAACATTCTGAAAACAAAGATTTTAATGCAGATTTTTTTTGCACCCATGCTTTTGATTGCTAAATTAATAATCCGATCATGATGCTGAATAAATGCCGTTTTTAAAATTTAAAAAAAAATCATCAGTCAGAACAACGCTGAAGGCCAAGTGCAGAATGGACCATGAACTGCTACTAAGCAAGTTCAAGTTAAAACTGAAGGAAATGAAACAAGCCCTTAGGTACCAATGAATGACCTTCGAGTTTATTCCACCTGAATTCAAGGGATAGCTAAAGAATAAATGTGATGCATTAAACTAATAATCAAAGATCAGATGAGTTGTGGGATGACACCACAACATCATGCATGAAGAGAGCAAAATGTCATTAAAAAAGACAGGAAAGAAAGCAAGCAGTCAAATTGGACATCAAAAAAGACTATGAAGCTTGTTACTAAACATAACAGCCACAGCAAACAGAAAAAAATGATGACGTAAACAAGAGTTAAACAGACTATTTCAAAGGACCACTTATGAAGAGAAAATAAAGAATTACAATGAAACAGACAAAGATCAGGCAAAACAAAAAAAGGCAAAAATATATTTGGTATTTTTCAAGCTGAAAAAACTGAAGAAAAAAATCTCGGGCTTGAATTGTGACACTGCCCTGGCAGACTAGTGTGTAAAATGTTGGGCTGTTAGCCAAAGAGTTGGCAGTTCAAAGCCACTAGTTATTCGGGAAGTCTCCTCTTGTAAGGATTTACAGCATTGGAAACCTGAGGAAGGGCTCTTATGACTCAAAACTGACTTATTGGTAGCTTATTGGCAAAATACTGAATGATGTAGGAAGCATTATAAGAAGACACAAGAACCACACACACACACACACACACACACACACACACACACAAAATGAGTTGATGCTCAACTATTTTAGGATTTAACAAATGATCAAGAACTGTTGGTACTGAAGGACGAAAAACAAGTTGTACAAAAGGCAATGATGAAAAACAAATCTTCAGAAATGGACAGAATACAAATAGAAATGTTCCAACAATGAGATGCACACTGGATAAACACTTGTTTATGCCAAGAAATCTGGAAAACAGCTAACTGGTCAATTTGCTGGAAGAGATTCACATTTGTTCCCTTTCCAACAAAGGTGTTCAACAGAATGTGTAAATTATCAAACACAGCTGATTACTGCATGTAATTAAATCTTATTGAAGGTAATTAAAAAACAATTGCAGAAGTACATCAAAAGGAACATCCAGAAAATCAAGCTGGTTCAGAAGAGGATGTAAACTGAAGATTATTACTTAAGTCAGGTGAATCTTGGCTGAAAGCAGAGAGTAACAGAAAGATACTCATCTGTGTTTCACTGCCTAAGCAAAGGTGTTAAACTATGTGGATTTTGAAAAAATATGGATAACACTGCCAGGAATGGAAATTCAGGACACTTAATTGTGCTTGTTCAGAGCATGCACAAAACAAAGAAACAGGTATTCTAAAGAAAACAAGGGGATCACGTGGTTCAAAATCAGGAAGACTGTGCATTAGAGGCTGTATGCTTTCACCATACTTATTCAATCGATATGCTGAGCCAATAATTTGAGCAACTGGACTACATGAGGAAGACTGCAGCATCAGGCTAAGAGGAAGATTCATTAACAATATGTAAATGACATAACCTTGCTTGCTGCAAACAAAAAGGACTTGAACACTTATTGATGAACATAAAGTCCATACCTTTAGTATGGACTACACTTCAACTTAAAACAAAAATCTTCACAACTGGATCAATAAGCAACATCATGATAAAAGGAAAAAATATGTTTTCATTTTATTTGGATCCACACCAATATCAATGGAAGCAGCAACCAGGAAATTAAATGATGTCTTACACTGGGAAAATCTGATCAAAAAATTCTTTACAGCAAAGATATCACATTGAGGACTAAGGGGTGCTTGATCCAAGCCATGGTATTTTTACTATCCCTATATGCATATGTATGGATGAATGGTATCACATACTTTGGGCATGTTGCTAGGAGAGGCTACTCCTTGGAAAACAATACATGCTTGGAAAGGTGGCGGGTCAGCTAAAGAGAGGAAAACTTTCAATGAGATGCAGTGACACAGTGACTACAGCAATGGGCTCAAGTGTGTCAGAAATGGTGGTACAGGATAGAACAGGTTTCACTATGAGTTGTACTCACTTTGACAGCACCTAACAACAACAATAACAACAACAATAATATATGCATACAGAACTGGACAATTAAAAAGTAGCATGAGGGGCAGCTGCTCCTGAACAAAGAATACTGAATATATTATGGACTGCCAGAACAACAACTCTGCAGTGAAAGATGGAGAGTGGTGGAATGTTCTTAGAAGACACTATGGCAAGGCTGTCTCACATATTTGGGTCATGTTATTGGGAAGGACTGTCCCTGGAAAAAGACATGCTTGGAAGAGGGTCACTGGAAAAGATGAAGACCCTCAGCAGTATGGACTGGCCCAGTGACCACAACAACGGGGTGAGAGTTAATAAGGATTTTGAGGATGCACAGGACTAGGCAGTGTTTCCCTAAGTTGTGCACAGGTCTGCCCTGAGTCAGCACTGACTCAAGGGCCAGTAACAACAGATATATGTGTATACTCTGCCAATTCCTACTATTAATTGAGTTGAACTAGCATCTGATGGTCTAATTCATCTGAACTCAAGAAAATCTCTGATACTATGGAGGCACTTGAACAGACTGGTCTCTGACTTTTAGAAATTATGAAGAGAGGTACAATAAGCAACAAAGCAATAAGTAAAGCTATAAAGGTATATATACAAAATGCTATAGGAATCCAGAGCAGAGAGAAACTGTGCCAACCTGATACAGACTGGGCAGATGCCAGAGCTGAGACCTACTAGAGTTAAAGGAAGAGATGGAATTGTTAAGAGTTCTACCCAAACACGTGAGTTTCACAATAAAACAGAAAGAATCATAACATATTTCTGTTACAACTGGCTCTGTCTTCAATGGCTAAAATTTAACTTCTTTGGAACTCTCTTTCCACAAGTCTGAAATTAGAAGTTTACACAGGATGAACTCTAAGGCTTTCCAGTTTTTATATGATTCTAGGAGGCAAATTGGGGGCATTATACAGATTTCAAGAAAGAGAATTCAAGATAGCAAGAAAATAAGTTAAAACTGTTGGGTGGGGGAGACAGAAGGAATTCATTTATTAACTATCCTTTTTTGTACTCTAAAAGTATAAGAATTTTACTTACCTCTGGTAAGAAGTTGCACTGCCAACCCAAAGGCAGTTCAAATAGAGCAGCTGCTTTGTGGGGAAAAGATGGGACAATTTCCTCCCAGGTGATTTAAAGCCCCTGAAAACTGGCATCAGTGAGTTTGAGTTTTGAGTTCTACCTAGAATGCGCTTCCAGCACACTTAAGAGTACAAATTGGAAAGATTTAAGAAGCAAGCTGTGCCCAGTGCAGAAGAGCAGGGAGTAAAGCATTCATCTATGCAAAGATGATGCTTGGATGCAGCAAGGAAAACAGGCAGCAGATACAAAGTTTTAACAGTTACATTCCTATTTACAACTAAAACTGGGGGGTGGCGCGGGGAGGGGAACCCAAACTAAACAACAGTACTTTACTTTCATAAAATGTTTGAACTTTTGATTCAACAAATCACTTTTGGGGGAGACATTTTTGTAACAAGAAGCCATTTAGAGATTACAAAGAAAATGACCAACAATCTAGGTATACACAATTAAATGAGAACCAGGAATTCTATCAAAGGAATACTATCAGGTAATCTAGTTCACCAAACACTTATTTAAGCATAACAGAGCTGGTTACTGTGAAAGCAGATGGTCTTAGTACTCAAGGGGTTTGCTGACCTAAATCAAGACTTAAAGGAAAAAGAAGTCTTACCCATCGATGATATTTTCAGGTGGATGTTTTTCATCACTTGATGTAGCTAAAATCACTTCAGCCCCTTCAGAACTCAAACAGAGATCAACTTTTCTCATCTTAAAGCAATTAGCCTACAAGTAAAAAAAAAAAAAAACCAAACCTCAGAGAAAAAGGAGAGGCAAAGCTGTTGCCTAGCATCCAGTTTAACACTAAACTATTCCTCCTTCCAAATGGGAGGAACTCTGGCAGACTTATTTACATAAGTAAACTTCTGACTTCTTCCAAGGATGTTGTTGTGTGCCACTGAGTTGCCTGCAACTCATAGTGACCTTCTTAACAACAGCACTGAAGCCTGCCCTGTCCTAAGCCAGTTTCACTGACTCCAATACATCAACCCCCATTGCCCTAGTTACTGTATCAATCCATCTCATCCTTGGTCTATTCTTCTGTACTGTCCCTCCAGCCTTCCAAGCATGATGTCCTTCTCCAAGGATTGGTCCCCCTGTCCACATGCCCAAAGTATGTGAGACAGAGCTTCAAAATCCTAGCTTCTACAGAAAAACTTTCACCCTCTCTAAGACAGATCTATTTGTTTTCTTGGTAGTCCATGGTATGTTCAAGACTCATTTCCAACACCACAACTCAAAGGCATAGATTTTTCTTCTGTCATCCTTAGTCACTGTTCAGCTCTCTGATGTATGACAAGTAATTGTGCAGACCATGGCCTGGATCAGGTGCACCCTAGTCTCCAGACTGACATCATTGCTTCTCAGTACTCTGGGAAGGTCCCTAATAGTATGATACATATGACTAGTGCCACCTCGTCAGCTCTACAAAACAAGTCCTTGGCTATACCATAACTGACACAGTTTTTCTACTTCTAAAATTAAAAGAAGTGAGCTCAGGTGGCATAGTCCACAAAGAGCTGTGGTGCTTGCCCAAAGGTGGTATCTCTCTGGCTGTTCAAATCCACAAGGTATCCTCAGGGAGAAAGATGGGCAGTTTTCCATGAGAAGATTTAGCCTCTGAAAACCTGCTGCTGTAGGGTCAACCACAAGTCTGTTCTGACTTGATGACAACAAGTAGTCCAATAATTACATGAAAACAGAATGGCATAAATTTTTAAGCTCCTCAAGCAGATCCAACCCTAACATATAATAGCAAGAAACCATGTCCGCTCCTGCAAGATCCTGACAATCACAGCTGTGCTAGAACCCCTTGTAGCCACTGTCTCAATCCACCCCACTGACAGTGTAATTTGAAAAAAACAACAGAAAAGTATAATTGTTAGCTTCTGAAATGAACAGAAATTTGGAGGATTAAAAAAAGTTATGACTGTATATCCATATATTTATCAACTTCAGAGGTGAACTATAATTTTTGTCATTAAAATGGGAGCTCTGGTGGCCTAGTGGTAGGAATATGCACTGTAATCCTGAAGGTGCATGGTTCAAATCCACCAGATGCTCTGGTGGAGGAGGGGCAATCTCCTCCTATGCCTGTCAGATCCAACTCAATGGTACACAAGAAAATAAAAAAATACAAAACAACTCTTTTTTTAAAAAAAAAAAATTGTATTTAATGATAGATTTCAAACAAAAAATGCCAAATATCGTGCACATACTAAACAACTATGTACTGAACAACTATGTACCCATTGTGTGTAATAATACTGCACTGCAATTCCGAAAGCTTGTGGTTCAAGGCCACCAGCTACTCAACAGGAGAAAGATGGGCAATCTACTCACGAGCAATTAATTGCCTCTAAAAACCAGAGCATCAGAGCTGTCAGAGGTCAGCTATGGGTTGGTTCTGACTCTGTGGAACACAACAATAACATTAACTATTTGTATTTAAAATAATTAGGCCATTTTTACTGATTAAATTTCCTTACTTCTTGTTGTTGTTATTGGCTGTCAAGTCGCTTGCGACTCACAGCGACTTTATGTACACCAGCTCTGAACGCTGCTCTATCTATATCCTGTGCCAACCTCACCGACTCTGACACACCCATTCCCGTTACCCCAGTTACTGAATCAATCCTTCTCGAGGGTCTTCCTCTCCTGTGCTGTCCCTTCACCTTCCCAAGCATAACATCCTTCTCCAAGGACTTGGAACATGCCCAAAGTATGTCAGATGGAGCTTCAGAATCCTTGCCTCCAAGGAACATCCTGGTTTTACCCTCTCCAGGACAAATCTGCTTGTTCTCTCGGCAGGAGTTTGTTCTTACGTACTCAGAGATAACAGCTATTCTGAAATTGATTAATATCCCTCTTGATGTTATTTTAAAATATTTTTACCATATATGGATCTCTATCAGGAGGCCAGATGCTGTACTGCACAACGTACAGGCTGCTAATCAAACGATCAGTAATCTGAATCCACCAACTGCCCATGGGAGAACGATGAACAACATCCTCTTGTAAAGACATACAGTTTCAGAAACCCCATGGAGGTTCGCTGGGAGTTGAGATTTACTCTATGGCTGTGGAGTGTCCATTGATACTGTACTCAACTTGATGGCATTTAAGAACAACCCTGCCATCAAACAGATTATGATCCACAGTGACCATCCTGAACACAGCAGAAAACTGTCCACAGACTTTTCAAGGCTGTAAATCATCCAGTATAGTGGTTAGGACATTTGAAGTGCAAACATTGTGGTTAGATGCCAAATTCTTTAAGCACTATGCCATCAGGGCTTTTTAATGTCAATAACTTTTATTATATGCTTTTTGTTGTCCTTTTCATTTTTCTATTGAGTGGAGTTTCTTTCTGTAGAATTGAAAACAAAACATTCTGCAGACAAATCCTTTGTTATATATGCTGTGACTATTTTCTCCCACTCTGTGATTTGATTTTTATTTTGAAATTTATCTTGGGCAAGAAGACAAGCCAGTAAACATGAAAAGGCATTTAACTTCATAATTAGGAGATGCAAATTAAAACCCTGGAGGTAAATTTTAGTCAATAAAACTGCTAAAAATTTTAAGAGACAGACATTACTGAGTATTGGCAAGAATATTGTCCAGTGTCAAAAATCTTAAGTATACAGCTCAATGAATTTTAAAAGTAAACGTATGTGGGACATCAGTACCCAGTAATGAAATGCAGGTAGCTCCTCATTTTGATGAGGAGCCTTTCTCACAACTGGTAAGTCAGTTCTGATAGAAGCTGAATAGTCCTTTTATTAAGAGATTAAGAGCCTTAATTATTATTGCCCTTTATATTGGAGGGATTGTCTTGAGAATGATAAACACAGTCAATTACACACTGCTATGAAGTATGTATTACATATGTGGTAGATCTAATACCACAAACCCCCCAAAAAAACCAAAACCAAGTGGTCACAAATGCAGTTCATGCTAACTCAAATACATCAGAAATCTGTACAAATTTCCAGCACTCCAGAAGCCCCTCACATGTACCCTATCAGTCACTGCCTGCCCCTCTCCTTCTTAAACATATCCACAGTCCTTATTTTTAACATAACAGGCTAGTTTTGTGCCAAGTTTATTTATATAGAATCACACAGCTTATATCCAATCACTTATTATTAAGTTTGTGAGAGTCATCCATGTTTTATGGAGCAGTTCATGATTTTTATCATGCAGAATCAACATAATTCATTCATCCATTCTACTGCTGATGGCTATTTGTGCAGTTTGTAATTTGAGGCTCTTAGGAATGCTGCCATGGTGATTAAAGTAAGGATGGTGCAAGACCAGGCACTGTTTCCTTCTGTTACACAGAACATGCAGTGACATTTAATCTGCTGTGACTCAAAACAGACTTGACGGCACCTAAGAACACTAACAGACATGATACAATTATAGAGATATTTTTATACACATCTTTTAGTGTGAATGTATGTTGATCACCCATGAGAGGGACATCATGCTTAGAAAGGTCACCCTCCAAGTCAACATAAGACAGGATGACCTTCAATAAGATTGACTGACATGGTGGCTGTCCTAATGGACTCAGAAGTATCAGAGACAGTGAGGATGGCACAGGATAGGGCAAGGTTCAGATCCATTGTTCATAAGGTCTCTATGAGTCGTTGTCAACTTGATGGCACTTAACAAAAATATACAGAGGAAAACAGAATCATAGTGAATGTGTATGTTCAATATTCCAAAAGCAGTTATAATAACTTGAATCAGATATGTATGACATTTCACTGTACAACTACCTTGACAACATACAATTTCTTTAAGCTTTAACAATTTTAGTGGGTAATAGTATATATAAAATGATTTTAATTTTGTTGTAGTTGTTGTTAGGTGCCATCGAGTCACTTGCAATTCATAGCAACCCTATGTACAACAGCCCTAAACCCTGCTCTATTCTGTGCCAATCTATCTCTGACACACCTACCCCCATTATCCCAGTCACTGAATCAATCCACCTCATAGAGTGTCTTCCTCTCCTGCACTGTCCCTCCACCCTCCCAAGCATAACGTCCTGCTCCAAGGATAGGTCCCTCATTGCAACATGTCCAAAGTATGTCAGACAAAGCTTCAAAATCTTTGCTTCCAAGGAGCAGCATGGTATAACCGTCTCCAGGATGAGCCTGTTCTTCTTAGCAGTCCATGGTATATTCAATACTCTTCTCCAACACCACAGCTCAAAGACATCAATTCTCCTTCTATCTTCCCTAGTCATTGTCCAACTCTCTGACACACAGTAAGTCATTGCAAAGATCAGGGCGTGTATCAGGTGCACCTTAGTTACATTTCTGAATTGATGCCTTTGGGTTGTGGTGCTCGAGAAGAGTAATGAATATCCTATAAACTGACAAAAGAACAAACCGATGTGTCTTTTAAAAAGTGCAGCCAGAACGCTCCTTAGAGGCAAAGATGATGAATCTTTGTCTCTCAGACTTTAGGCATGTTTCTAGAAGCTATTCCTCGGAAGGGAACATCATGCTTGGAAAGCTGGTGGATCAGCAAAGGAGAGGAAGAACCACAAGAGGGACAGACACAGTGACTGCAACAATGGGCTCAAGTATGTCAAAAATATGAGGCTAGTACAGGATAGGGCAGGGTTCAAGTCTATTGCTCATACTGTCACTATGAGTCATACTCAACAGCACCTAAGAATAACAACAATT